GGCGCAGGGAGGACTCACCTGCTGAAGAATCACCATTGTCCTTTGTCAGATGCTCCCACTTGGCCAGACCCGGTTCTGCAGGAGGAAAGACCGTGTCAAGCCTCTGAGTGCCTGTACCGGGCAAGGGTCACCTGGGCTCCTCCCAAAGGCCCAGCCCTTCCTCCCTCTGGAGAGCCCTCCCTGGCTTCACTCCCTCTGGCCACAGATCAGCCTGTGTGACCTGAGCCTCAGCTGCCATCACCGGCTTTATTGCCCAGAGCAGTTGAGCTCTTCTTTCGGTCACTCCATCTGGAAACTCCCAAAGGACTCCTAGAAAGTAGCAAGTCCACCCCCTCTCCAGAGAGGGACCAAGACTTGCCCAAGGTCACACAGCAGGGCAGGCAAGTTCAGGACCAAGATTTGGTCTCAGGCCTACCAGCTCAGAGCTGCCCCAGGAACGAGGTAGCAGGGGTAGCCTGGCCCAAAGGGAGGGTTATGGGTTAAGCATGCCTAAACCCTTCCAGAACAGCCACTGCCCACAGGATGGGGGCTCTAAATGTGGCTTTTAAGTCCCAGCACTACATGGCTCCTGTGGATTTTCCAGTCTTGCCTCTCAGGCTTTTTTCCTTCTTCACTCCTGCACTGAGGCCACCCTCAGCACTCGCTGATCCTGAAATGTGGTAGCCCTTTTCATACCCCCTGGCCTTTGCACACACTGGCCCCTCTGCCTAAAATTATAGCTAGTAAACTCCCACTTGTGCTTTGTGGCTCAGTTCAGATGGTACCTCCTCCCAGAAGCCGTTCCTGACCATCCCCAGGCTGCCAAGAGTCTTGATATATCTCTCTTTCCAGCCCTGACTACATGCATTATGCTGTCTGATCAGGGTCTGTCCCTGCCTCTGCCCCCAAAGTCGGGGAGCTGACCCAGGGCAGAGTGTGGGGTTCAGCCATCACCTCACACAGCATAGGGCTAAGCCCAGAGACGGCTCAGGAAGGACTTGTGGGACTGAGTGTGGTGCTCCAGGGCAGCCCCAGCCCACGGGCCCTGCCTGAGGCCCCTCTGGCCTCCCTCCTGCCCCCCAGGATGAGCATCAATTATTCACAAGGCCCATTCAGAGGCACTGGGGCATTTGATCCTCTGCCCATGACACTGCCTGACACCTGAGCCCTGACCCCTGCCCTGGAGCTTTGGGACGCAGCAGGCACACAGTCCTGGAGACCTGCACCCAGCCTGAGTGCCTGGCAGGGAAGGGAATTCAGCAAGGGCCAGCAGGCAGCCGCACCAGGGAGCTATGTCTGAAGAGGATGTCTGGCCATCATGCTGGCATCCTGTACCAGCGTGAGCCACGGGGAGCCAGAGGGCAGAACCAGGGTTTTCATTAAGAGTCAGAGTTTTGGAAGGAGGTGGTAAGGGCATAGAATTTCAGGGCCATACATAAGGGAAAAACTGCAAGATGACAGTTTTTTCTAAGAATAAGAACTAGTCCATGTTCGAGTTAACTGCTTTTCAAATTGACAACAGGGAACACAGAACTGCATTTATATTTTTAGGCCATCCCTCATTTACTTTGTCACCATAGCAATGCTGGCTGATGAGAGTTCATATTCCCATTGTGCAGATGGAAATTTTGAGGCACAGAGGAAGGAAGTGACTTATCCGCGGAGAGAAATAAAGATGGAGAGTGTCGGAGAAAGGCCAAAGGAGACAGAGACATAGAAGACCCTCTCTCTCTCTCTCTCTCTCTCTCTCTCTCTCTCTCTCTCTCTCTCTCTCCCCCTCCCCCGGCCCGCTC